TAGAGGCCGGTAGTACCAAGCCACCACAACCAAGCCGATGTACAGTAGTGTCGTTTGGTCGGTCTGACCGAACGACCCCCGCGCAACATTGGCGGACCAAACCAACCGTACTGTAACGAGCTATCGTTCGAGAACATTCACTCGTCGTGTCTTCAACACTTGCCAACCCGGACGTTTCAATGGTCCACCACTACACACCACACGCATCACAGCTGGACGTACGTGTACTTATATCCACGTGGTTGCACCGTGTGGATGTCGGTGCGGACACGGTCCGGTAAGAGCTTATCACACACACAAACTAAAACCCGCACACTTGCAGTAATGTCTGCAGCTTCATACTTCGATACGGAGCAATATCTGTGCTGTAATCACAAGCTGCATCCACAAATAACCACAATTAGGGTACATTCCGCTGTGGACACTGTCCCAATCGATGTGTCCCAATCGATTGTGACGCGTACGTACAGCATATGCTGCCAGGTGTCAGAATGCCGGGCCGCCCGTGGTTGTCGCCAAATGTATTTATCATTGGGGGACGTGAAACACGGAGCAGTCGCCAGCTAATTGCAACACAATCCATCAGTCGCACGCGGTGCCAAATGTCAACACATGCAGCATGTATCTAGACGACATCTCCCCAAAACCCACTATCCCCATCAACGCGTACACTGCGTAGTGATTGGTCCAGACGACACACCCGGGATTATTGACAGGGACGCGCACGTCCCCGCCAGCGCGCCTTCCCCCAGCTCCAATGCTCCTTCCCCACAACTCCTCCACCTCCCAACACCTTGCGGGTTCATCTTCGTGCACCATCCTTCCTGTTCCAATCTGTTCATTTTTCTCCGCTCCCGCTCCCTAAAGATCTAGATCTAGAAGCACTCTATTTGCCAGCATGGCTCGTAAGCGTAAGGGGCAGGCCCTTAACGACTGCCCCAAGGATCTTGACGACATCCCTTACATCCGCTGGATGAACCAGCAGATCGCCAACGGGCGCCATCCGAATGGATTATCCGCGCCGCCCGTGCTTGACGGCCAGGGATCCACCGCACAGTCGCCCAGTGCGGCCATGTCACGTGTGCGTCGTCAGCCTGCAAGGACGGCTGCAACACACCGGCTTGTCGTGGAGCAAGATGCGTACGATGACGATGATGACGACCCCGAACAAGGCCTCGACACCGACGACGACAAGGAGGAACCGGAAGACGCTGGGATGTCGCTCAGCGACGGCGACGACGAAGATGAGGACGCCGAGGACGACGCGGAGGAGGAAGCGCAACCTGTGTCTGTGACTACGAAACGGAGCGCCGCACGCGCATCTGGGACGAACAAAGGCAAAGGCAAGGCGGCGCCACCACCGCCACGCCAGGAGCCACGGAAGAAGCGGTCGGCTGCACCAGTCGAGAGGGGCTTATGGTCGGACAAGGAGAGCACCATATTCGCCGCGGCGAAGTGGTTCATGAAAGAGGAGCTCGAGCCTCTCAAGGGGAAGCAGGGGACGCAATACTGGGTCCGACTACTCGCGCACATCAAGGAGTCGAACCCTGGATGGTGCAGGGGTGTCAACGCGTTGCAGAAGCAGTGGCGTAACTTGACGCTCCTCTGGCGGGAGTACAAGCGTGGCGACGGGGGGTCAGGCCACGGCTCGGTTGAGAAACCACCGAGGTATCCGTACCTGGAGCTGCACAACCAGGACACCGCCGCAGCCGCACCGCATGCGGTGGACGGCGGCGGCGCCACGGACGTCAACGTGCCGGCCGGCACGGAGGTTCCAAGTTCGTCTCAGCCAGGCACGTCAACACCAACATTTACGGGTGAGTCGTGTTGTTATGAACTCTAGCTTGCTTTGCGTTTGACTTATCGTAGTTTGAATACGGTGATTCTGTTTATTTTATTCGCCAATATGCAGGTTACATCAAACAAGGGTAGTTGGACTAATCGAAACTACTATTTTCCCCGCTCCTCTATCACAGCTCCGCCGCCGCCGACCACCGCAACACCTAGGCGCGCACGGGTGCACGAGACGGCTACCATGCAAGCAGCCAAGCTGGTCTCCGCGACCATCAAGGATTGTCACGGAGACGCGATGACGCGCATTGAGAGCCTCGTCCGTGAATGGATGGCGCAGGACATGCGACTTGCCCGCGAGCGCATGACTGAATCGGCGCCCCCGGACGTGCACCGTGCGCCGCCGGATTTCAGCCCTCCTCCGCCACGCGGGGAGTCCGCACCTCCTCCCGAAGCCGCACAGCATGACGACGATGTTGGCGACGTCAACACCGTCACTCCGGGTGCTGAGGATGTGGAGATATGGGTGCGCGGCGCCGACGATTAGCGTAAGAGTCCTGCAGGGCCTCACCCAGTCTTTTCCGCCTCTCTCTCAGTGCTTGTTGTGTTGGGGGAACACAGGGTTCCCACTTGTGTGTCGCAATGGCACCCCGTGTCCACCAAGAGTCGCGGTTGCGGGGCAGATTGAACCAGGCCATGTTCTTGCGCCTAACGACTGCCATCTCTTCACACAAGTTGTGCAGGATCACACAACACGCGGCTCCTGCGAGAATGCGCCACAACCTGCAGTCGTTGCGCCCGCCGAAGATGCGCCATCTCCCTTTCAAGGCGCCGATGCACCGTTCCACCGCCATGCGGGTGGCGCTCTGGCAGTAGTTGAAACATTGGGCCCAATCGTCCATTAGGACCTCTCCGCGCGGTGCATGCAGGGGGGTTAGGCAGTATTCTCGTAGTGGGTAGGCCGCATCCCCAACAATCTGGTATGGGGCTATGTCCCCGTTGTGTAACCTCTCGAGTAGTGCAGACTCTTTGAAAACCCGCATGTCGTGCGCGCTGCCGGGATAGCCGATGAGGTAATCCCATATCCTGCCTCGTGCATCACACGTGATTTGGAGCTGAACGGCGTAGGCCGACTTCCTTGTCCAGTACTCCGCCCTGTGCCCTTCCATCCCTTTCATGTGGATGTGAGTCCCGTCCACAGCCCCCACCACTGCAGGTACACCTTTGATGGCAGCGAATTCACGTGCCATCTCGGGAAGTTCATCGCGTGTGGGAAAGCGCACCCAGGCGGCCTTGAAGACAGAGGGGAACTCGGTGAGGAACACGTCAACAAGCTCGTGGCAGAGTGTCTTGGAGACACCGAACAGGTACGACATGTCGACGAATGAAATCCCACTCGCCAAGTACTTTATTGGGATGAGCAAAGCAGTGTCCATTGTGATTATCGACCGATGGACGATGGGCTCTAGATATTGTCGCATCCCAGACCTTACATGCTCAAGTATGGCGCGGTTGATCCTGAATATGTCTTGGAAGTCGTTCTCCCGCATGTGTTGCAGGTCTTCAACCCACAAAGCATGACGTCGCCGCCGTACACTCGCTATGTGACGGCGGTTCTCCCCGGTGTCGTCCCCGGACGATGAGGACTGCTCGTCCGCGTCCTCAAACACACCGGACTCTATGAGGCCTACGAAGGACTTCGCGACATTTTCGTAGAAAATGGTGTAGTAGTAGGTGACCCAGGCGACGAGGAGGCGTAGGATGAAGGGGATGGCTCTAGGCTCTGCCATCATGCGTGGATTCGGCGTGTGTAGTAATGGTGTCTGTGCTATGTTTGATCATAAAAACTCACGTACTAGAAGAGGAGTTGCAGATGTATGTGCCGTTGAGGCAATTATTGGCACTGCGGAGGAGTACTGTACCCTCCGCGGCCTCCCTGGACATCACCAATACACTACCGCGGACCTGGAGGTGTTGGTGTATGTGCTGCGCAAGGACGAGTGGGCATGATTATTCGTTGACCAATCACAGTGGTTCGCACATAATTGTCGCGCGTCTGTACAGAGTCGCAATACATCGATCGATTGGGACATGCAAACTCGAGACATTTGAGTGCGACTCGCCCAAATCGTGATTGGGACACATCGATTGGGACAGTGTCCACAGCGGAATGTACCCTTAACCAGGAGGGGCCAAAACTAGGTACTCATTGTTTCACATTGCCAGGATGGTTCAGAGTAGTAAACCCCTCATGAAATGACTACCAATCACACGTACCATACCCTGACTAACTAAACACGTATACCGTACATGTAATACACCAAAACAATGAGTGCCTGCCTGGACACAGAGTGATGCCAGTGCAAGCTTGCTGATGCATGTCTGTGCCTGTTACTGCTGCCCGTGTTACCGCACGGCTTGGACCACACAGTAATGCCTGTCCATGGGATGCCTGTTCAAGTAATGCATATTCAAGTGTAACCTGCTCATGAATTGTGCTCGCTTCAGTGCAGCGCACCGGCTGTGCGGCCTGCTTGGCCTTGGCAAATGTGCACTTAGCCATGGTCACTGATGGTCGTGAAATGGCATCTTTCATGTAGCAATTGGGCACCTGGGAGTGAACGACACAATGGGGGGTTGAGAGGGGGTGAGAGACGAGAGAACAGGTAACAGGTGAGAAGGGTTGACGCAAGCAGTTACTCTCAGGACCACCTGCAAATCTGATAGCGAACGATGCAAAGAGGGGACGAGAGAGGGAGAGAGAAGATGAGAGGGGAAAAGGGGAAGCAGGGGTGAGAGGGGGTGAGAAGGGTTGAGAGGGTTGAGAGGTGGTGAAAGGGGAATGAGAGGGATTGAGAGGGGTTGGACGTGTCATGTCTGCAATGGGTCATGAGCGCAAGCAGCAGGGCGAGAATAAGACAGTGAGAGGTGGCTTACAGGGCAGCGGGGTCAGCAGGGTCAAGGCAGCAGGCAACAGGGAGGAGGGGAAGGGTAGGGAAGAGAAGGGTATTCCCCTCAGAGATGGGCGTGCCCCCCCAACGCGCCAGGCGCACCTCCCTGCTATTTGGGCGTCACTTGTGAGAGCTCTCGGCAGTGACTCCCAAAGAGAGAGGATTCGCCCTGCCAACTCCTTCCAACTCGCCCACCGCACCTCCCTACACGAACCCTGCCTTGGGTAGGAGGACAGAAGCGGGAAGAGGAAGGTGGATTTAGTAAAGGGGAAGGGGCAGGGAGGAGGGAAGAGGAGGGGAAGAAGCGATCCAAAAGGGACGGTGAGAAGGGGAGGAGAAGGGGAAGGGAGGACGGGACGAGGGGACGAGGGGAAGAGAGGAGGAGGGGAAGTGAGAGAAGAGCATTCTCTTATAGGGCCTCGCAAATTACACCTCCCAGAGTGATTCCTGCACTTGTCCCCTTCTCTCCGTCCCCCTGCTCACCCCTCCCCTCCGCCCCCCTGCTCCCCCCTCTCCACTTCGCCCCTTGAGAGCGCCTCGCCAATGACCTTGTAGGTCCCCAGGTCCATCACACCCCTTCCATCCCTGCTCAATCAACCCCCTCCATTTGCGCCCTCCTCACCTCACCTCTCCCTCCCTTCCCTCTCCCCCCTTTCCCCTCACCTCACTGCTCACCTCGCCCCTCCACTAACCCTCCTCCTCCACCCCCCTCCCCCTGCTCACCCCTCCCCCTCGCCCCCCCCCAGGTCTGCCCCCTGTTCACCTCGCCTCGACAATGAGCCTGGACGACCCCAGGTCGATCCTAATGCCGTCCATCTCACCTTGCTCCTCACCTTGCTCACCTTGCTCCTCACCTTGCTCCTCACCTTGCTCCTCACCTTGCCCCTCACCTTGCTCCTCACCTTGCTCCTCACCTTGCCCCTCACCTTGCTCCTCACCTTGCCCCTCACCTTGCTCCTCACCTTGCTCCTCACCTTGCCCCTCACCTTGCTCCTCACCTTGCTCCTCACCTTGCCCCTCACCTTGCTCCTCACCTTGCCCCTCACCTTGCTCCTCACCTTGCCCCTCACCTTGCTCCTCACCTTGCCCCTCACCTTGCTCCTCACCTTGCCCCTCACCTTGCTCACCTTGCCCCTCACCTTGCTCACCTTGCCCCTCACCTTGCTCCTCACCTTGCTCCTCACCTTGCTCACCTTGCCCCTCACCTTGCTCCTCACCTTGCCCCTCACCTTGCTCCTCACCTTGCTCACCTTGCCCCTCACCTTGCTCCTCACCTTGCTCACCTTGCCCCTCACCTTGCTCCTCACCTTGCTCCTCACCTTGCCCCTCACCTTGCTCCTCACCTTGCTCCTCACCTTGCCCCTCACCTTGCTCCTCACCTTGCTCCTCACCTTGCCCCTCACCTTGCTCCTCACCTTGCCCCTCACCTTGCTCCTCACCTTGCCCCTCACCTTGCTCCTCACCTTGCCCCTCACCTTGCTCCTCACCTTGCTCCTCACCTTGCCCCTAACCTCCCTCCCTCCCCCGTCCCCCGTTCCCTCTCGCCGCTCTTGCGCACCTCGCCAATGACCTTGGACGTGCCCAGGCCGATCGCCCTGCTGTGAATCTCGCAGCCGTGCTGGCTGAACGTGCTCGCCCCTGCATTGCGCACTCCAGCAGTGGTGGAGGCGAGCGGAGGGAGGGACGGGGGAACGGGGGAGGGAATGGGAAGCGGAGGGAGGGATGGGAGGGTGAGGGAGGGAATGGGGAGAGAGGAAGGGAATGGGGAGAGAGGAAGGGAATGGGGAGAGAGGAAGGGAACGTGGAGAGAGGGGGGGAATGGAGAGGGAAGAGGAAAAGGAAGGGGGGGTAGGGGGGGGGGGGGGGGGGGGGGGGGGGTGGATGGGGGGATACGATGTTGGGCTGGCTGGCTACCAGCGAAAGCAGATGCATGTTGGTTTAGAATCACATCGTTTGGGATTCCCACAGGCAACTTCAAGAATTTGCGATGTAGGAGTAACGAGAAACGAAACGGGGAGCCATGAAATATTAATGAGAAGTGCAGGATTGACAAGCGAGACGCGGGAGGAGGAGAAAAGGGGAGTGGGGGAAGAGAGAGAGGGGGTGGAGAAGGGGGGGGGGGGGGGAGAGTGAAGGGGAGGGGAGGGAGGGGCGGGATGTTTTGTTTGTCAGTGGACAGAGAATCAGGGGGTAAGGGAGAGGGGAGACAGGGAATGAAGAGGGAGGGCATGGAGCATAGGTGGTTCAAGAAGAAATATTTGCCTGTTAGTGGACTTTTGAGTTGACTTATAGGACTAGGGGTCAACTCAAAGGACTAAGGGTCAACTCAAAGGACTAAGGGTCAACTCAAAGGACTAAGGGACAACTCAAAGGACTAAGGGTCAACTCAAAGGACTAAGGGCCAACTCAAAGGACTAGGGGTCAACTCAAAGAACCAGGGGTCAACTCAAAGGACCAGGGGTCAACTCAGAGAAGCAGAGGTCAACTCAGAGAAGCAGAGGTCAACTCAAAGGACCAGGGGTCAACTCAAAGGACCAGGGGTCAACTCAAAGGACCAGGGGTCAACTCAAAGAACTAGGGGTCAACTCAAAGGACTAGGGGTCAACTCAAAGGACTAGGGGTCAACTCAAAGGACTAGGGGTCAACTCAAAGGACTAGGGGTCAACTCAAAGGACTAGGGGTCAACTCAAAGTAAGGGCGAAGGGAGAGGAGGAGAGAACGCATTGGACGCTGCATTGAGCATGCAAGCACCTCCACCTTCCCCTCCCCACCTGTTCTTAACCATGCCATGTTTGTTCGTAACCATGCCATGTTCGTTCGTAACCATGCCATGTTCGTTCGTAACCATGCCATGTTCGTTCGTAACCATGCCATGTTCGTTCGTAACCATGCCATGTTCGTTCGTAACCATGCCATGTTCGTTCGTAACCATGCCATGTTCGTTCGTAACCATGCCATGTTCGTTCGTAACCATGCCATGTTCGTTCGTAACCATGCCATGCTCGTTCGTAACCATGCCATGTTCGTTCGTAACCATGCCATGTTCGTTCGTAACCATGCCATGTTTGTTCGTAACCATGCCATGTTCGTTCGTAACCATGCCATGTTTGTTCGTAACCATGCCATGTTCGTTCGTAACCATGCCATGTTCGTTCGTAACCATGCCATGTTCGTTCGTAACCATGCCATGTTCGTTCGTAACCATGCCATGTTCGTTCGTAACCATGCCATGTTCGTTCGTAACCATGCCATGTTCGTTCGTAACCATGCCATGTTCGTTCGTAACCATGCCATGTTCGTTCGTAACCATGCCATGCTCGTTCGTAACCATGCCATGTTCGTTCGTAACCATGCCATGTTCGTTCGTAACCATGCCATGTTCGTTCGTAACCATGCCATGTTCGTTCGTAACCATGCCATGTTTGTTCGTAACCATGCCATGTTCGTTCGTAACCATGCCATGTTCGTTCGTAACCATGCCATGTTCGTTCGTAACCATGCCATGTTCGTTCGTAACCATGCCATGTTCGTTCGTAACCATGCCATGTTCGTTCGTAACCATGCCATCTTTGTTCGTAACCATGCCATGTTCGTTCGTAACCATGCCATGCTCGTTCGTAACCATGCCATGTTCGTTCGTAACCATGCCATGTTCGTTCGTAACCATGCCATGTTCGTTCGTAACCATGCCATCTTTGTTCGTAACCATGCCATGTTCGTTCGTAACCATGCCATGTTCGTTCGTAACCATGCCATGTTCGTTCGTAACCATGCCATGTTTGTTCGTAACCATGCCATGTTCGTTCGTAACCATGCCATGTTCGTTCGTAACCATGCCATGTTCGTTCGTAACCATGCCATGTTCGTTCGTAACCATGCCATGTTCGTTCGTAACCATGCCATGTTCGTTCGTAACCATGCCATCTTTGTTCGTAACCATGCCATGTTCGTTCGTAACCATGCCATGTTCGTTCGTAACCATGCCATGTTCGTTCGTAACCATGCCATGTTTGTTCGTAACCATGCCATGTTCGTTCGTAACCATGCCATGTTCGTTCGTAACCATGCCATGTTCGTTCGTAACCATGCCATGTTCGTTCGTAACCATGCCATGTTCGTTCGTAACCATGCCATGTTCGTTCGTAACCATGCCATGTTCGTTCGTAACCATGCCATGTTCGTTCGTAACCATGCCATGTTCGTTCGTAACCATGCCATCTTTCGTTCGTAACCATGCCATGTTCGTTCGTAACCATGCCATGTTCGTTCGTAACCATGCCATGTTCGTTCGTAACCATGCCATGTTTGTTCGTAACCATGCCATGTTCGTTCGTAACCATGCCATGTTCGTTCGTAACCATGCCATGTTCGTTCGTAACCATGCCATGTTCGTTCGTAACCATGCCATGTTCGTTCGTAACCATGCCATCTTTGTTCGTAACCATGCCATGTTCGTTCGTAACCATGCCATGTTCGTTCGTAACCATGCCATGTTCGTTCGTAACCATGCCATGTTTGTTCGTAACCATGCCATGTTCGTTCGTAACCATGCCATGTTCGTTCGTAACCATGCCATGTTCGTTCGTAACCATGCCATGTTCGTTCGTAACCATGCCATGTTCGTTCGTAACCATGCCATGTTCGTTCGTAACCATGCCATGTTCGTTCGTAACCATGCCATGTTCGTTCGTAACCATGCCATGTTTGTTCGTAACCATGCCATGTTCGTTCGTAACCATGCCATGTTCGTTCGTAACCATGCCATGTTCGTTCGTAACCATGCCATGTTCGTTCGTAACCATGCCATGTTCGTTCGTAACCATGCCATGTTCGTTCGTAACCATGCCATGTTCGTTCGTAACCATGCCATGTTTGTTCGTAACCATGCCATGTTCGTTCGTAACCATGCCATGTTCGTTCGTAACCATGCCAGGTTCGTTCGTAACCATGCCATGTTTGTTCGTAACCATGCCATGTTCATTCGTAACCATGCCATGTTCATTCGTAACCATGCCATGTTCATTCATAACCACTAACATTTCATCGCAAACCTTCTTTACCCCCCCCACCACCATCACTCGCCGGACACCACTTCCCCTCTACACCCCCCAGCCTCCCCATAGACTCCTTGCACCTCACGGCACATTCCCCCCTTTCCACTCAGCTCAAAAGTCATCCCCACCATCCCACCATCCCACCATCCCATCCCACCATCCCTGCCAGACACCCTCGTTCCCTCTACCTTTCCTTCCCCCCTCTCTCCACCCCGACCCCTTTCCCTCTACACTCCCCTCCCCGGCCCCCTCTCTCCGCGTGAACTCTTTCCGTTACATTCCCCCGCCTCCCCACGTTATCCGCGCACCTCACAGAGCACGCCCTCTCACCTCACAGAGCACGCCCTCTCACCTCACAGAGCATGCCGCCCTTCTCCTTGAGCATGCGCCAGATCTCCGCAGATCCGTACGACTGTGCGTCCGCCAAGGGCTGCCAGGGGGGGGGAGGGCGGAGGGGGGAGGGCGGAGGGGGGGGAGGGGGGTCAATGGCCGCCATGTCAAGCGGCCCATGCCTTGCCATGCCATGCCATGCCATGCCAACCCATGCCATCCCATCCCATGCCATCCCATGTCATGTCAACCCATGCCCATGCCGTGAAAAACCCATGCCATGCCATGCTATGCCATGTCGCGCCATGCCAACCCATGCCATTGCATGATATGCCATGCCATGTCATTCCATGCCAGAGTCACAGAACCAGGTAACAACGTGCTTTCACAACAATTCGACGCCATTCACCAGATAACAAGTTGAAGTCATCCCGATGGGAAGTCACAAACTTAGGGGACAGAACGAATCCACACTGTCAGAAGCAATGGCCCCATGCGCCTCTCACCGCCATGTGCCTCTCACCGCCATGTGCCGACGATGCTTCCGCTAATGCTTCCGCCAATGCTACCGCGGGTGGCGGAGTCGCCGCTTCCGCTAGTTGCGGGGGGCCACCGCCGGTTTCCGCCGCGTGGGGGGGTTCGCCCAACTCCACGGCTTGCGCAGCCTCCGCTGCTACTGCCATGGTTTCAACAGGAGCCTCCGCTGCTGCTGCTGCCGTTTCCGCCGGTTTCTGCGCAGGAGCATTCGCGGCTGGCATTTCCGAAGCAGAAGTTTCCGCGGCTGGAAATTCCGCAGCAGGAGAATCCGCGGCCAGCGGCTGGTATTTCGCCTGGAGGTGTCGGTCTGTGCTCTGCGTGTTTTCGGGCTTCTGGTTCAGTTGACGCGGATACGTGGTTACTAGACTATGTGACGCTTTCTCGAAGCGTAGCGTCGCATCGTCTAGTGCGAAATTGGTGCTCAGTATTTTTCGCGGTTCGGCTAAGGAGACTACCTAACGGACAGAAAGTTTCTGTCGACGCGTGATCGTTCCTGTTCGAGATAAACTAAGATCATGATGGATGACGGGATGTCAAGCTAGACTAGTTTACATCGACGAAAACCTGACAAAACTTTCTACGAAGATTGCACTATCGAAGCAATTGAACAATATCCGTTGATATTCTTGTACGTGCGCAGCCTTTAGTCTAGACTATGAAGACTATTTAGAGTCTTAGTAACAAGCATATGAAGCTCTGGCCCCAACTGTGTGAAGGAATTTGCTGGAAAACGCCAAGGCAGAAAGTTCAAGTAATTTCATTGAAGAAGGCATGCAAAAACAAAAAACACAAAGCAAGTTATAAGCAAAAGGATTTCTGATTTCGCCCTCGCGCCGCGCCTAATTTCGAGCTGAGTTGTACTCGGCTCAATTTCCAAACCCAACCATGCACCGAACGCGCCTCGAGTTCGAACCAGACTTCCTTGGACGCGCCTTTGACCCGGCGTGACTTCTCTTCACGTCGCTTGGAATCTCGACATTTCAGCTGTTTTCTTCTCCATTTCTGCACACTTCCCCTCCTTCTCTTCGATTCCCACTGCAGGTCGCGCCGCTACCGTGTTTCTCCTTCCACCGTCCCAACATAGGTAGCTCCTCTTCTTCTTAGGTCCTCGCTTTCCCTTAGTCACAGCTCGTCAAACCGAATTCTTCTTAGGTCGATGTAGATCGCGTTAGGTCGTTCTAGGTCATGGTTAGCCAACCACCTTCAACAATCTCCCCTGTGGTTTGCTAACCACCAGCTTATGCACGCTCCCTCGTACGTTTCACCTTGAACCACCTCTAGGCCTGCACCACACTCCCCTGCAATTCAGCCAAGGTACGTATCCCAACCTCTCTCTTGCAACGCTCAAAATTAGCCCTTGGTAACACCTTAGTCAGAAAATCTGCCGTCTGTGCCTCCGTACGCACGAATTCAAACTCAAACTCTTTGCTACTCACCTTTGAACGCACCCAATGATACTTCACGTCCATATGCTTGGTCCTGCCGTGCCAATTGTCGTTATGAGCCAAATCGATTGCAGATTTGCTGTCCGAGCGAATCACCGTAGGTCCTTCCACCTTTATTTCCATCTCCTTGAGTAGCCTTCTCAGCCAAACCCCCTCTTGGCATGCGTAAAACAGAGCCATGTACTCCGCTTCCGCACTAGAGAGCGATATGTCAGCCAACTTTTTCGCTTGCCACATGATTGCTGTCCCGCCGAGCAGAAACACGTAACCGTATGCTCCCTTCCTTGTTTTCTTGTCGGATGCGTGTGAAGCATCCGCATACCCCACTAACTCCAAGGTCTCTTCACCTCCTTCGAATAACAGTCCCTCATCTTCATGTTGCAGTAGGTAGTCGATAGTCCTCCTCATCTCTCTCCATTTTATCTCCCCTTGCTGCTGCACTTGTTGCCCAAGATAGCTAGCTGCGTATGCCATATCGACACGCGTGCATGAGACCGGATACATTATGGACCCCACCATGGACTGGTATACCTGTAGAGCCCTCTCCTTGCTACCCCATTGGTTGACATCTTCCTCTCGTTCACCGTCGTTTTCAGCTACCCCACTCAATGGTGTAGAAATCGCCTTCGTGTAGCCGTTGCCAAACCTCTGCTGCACCCTGCTGCAATATTTCTGCTGGTACAGAAACATCTTGCTCTCCTCCTTACGCCGCTCCAGATTCATGCCGAGAAAGAGTGTGGTCCGTGGAATTTGCTTCACTTGAAACACTTCCGCAAGGTGAGTGCACACCTTCTCTACCTCCTCCTCTAACGCCCCTGCCACTAAGATGTCGTCCACGTATAGCACCAAGAACACCTTCTCCTTCCCTTCTCCCTTCCAGTAGAATGCCCTATCACACTCACTTTTCTGAAATCCCCCTTGCAGTAGCCGCTCATCCATCGCCATATACCACTCCCTAGGACTTTGCTTCAGCCCATATAATGCCTTGTTGAGCTTTTCAGCCCGAGCCATCGTCATGCCCTGGTGGTTGCTCGAGGTAGATGTCCTCCTTCAGCACCCCATACAAAAACGCGTTTTTAATATCCAGCTGCACCATGAAATATTTCCTTGCTGCTACCACCTTGAGAAAGACCCGTGCCGTTGTCAACTTGCTCACTGGAGCATAGATTTCGTTCTTGTTGTAGTCTTTCCCCTCCACCTGAGTGTAGCCCTTGGCTACGAGCCTTGCTTTGAACCTTTCCAGCTGCCCCATATCTCCGGTCTTGATCTTAAAAATCCACTTCACCCCTACGGCTTTCCTTCCTTCTGGCATAGGCACGAGCTCCCATGTGCCCCTTTCAGCCAATGTGTTCAACTCCTCCTCAATTGCCGCTTTCCACTGCTCCCTTTCTGGACCCTCTAGCGCCTCCTCGATGCTCACTGGTTCTTTGGGCAGGTTGTGTGTCACTTTTCCTTCATTGGAGACTAGGTCAGTAGCTGTGGCAGAGAGTAGGAGGTGGGTATGGATGTCCTTCCAGCACGTCATCAGCAGTTGCGCATACCGAGGGTTTGGTTTCTTCACCCTCTTTCCTTTCCCCAACTCCTCTGCAGGTGACTCGACCTCATCCTCACTGGAATCCACCAGTGCTTTCCCTTCTCCATTCTTCACTTCCCTTCCAATCACGATGGCGCCCTCCTCAAGTAATTCCTCTATCTCCCTCATCTTGGCATTGTTGTCATCACTGTTTAGAAGCTTCCAAGGATCACTATCTCCTTCAGCTGCTGATTCTTCATCTCCCTCTTCTTCAGCCACTTCATCAATGCCATCCTCAGCTACTTCTTTGCTTGGCTGCTCCCCTGCTATCTCCACTACCTTGCTTTCATCCGCTTCCCTGGTTGGTGCCTTCTCCCACACCCAATCAACTGAATCTGCCCGTTCCACATCTTCGAGTTCCTCATCTCCTTCATCACCAACTCCCTCACTCTCCTTTTCTTCCAAAAGATCGTCCACCTTGTCCGGTGCAATTGCTGTCCCTGCTGCTGCAATCTCTTTCTCTACTCCCTTCCACTGCAGGTAGTTCACCTCCTCGTAGAAGACAACATCCCGGGTGATCATGACCTTCCCTGAAATTACATCCTTGATCACCCACCCCTTGCTCACCGGGCAGGTACCGAGGTTAATCCCCCAATGAGCCTTGGGCAGCAACTTATGATCCGGACCGGCTGGCTCCCTGTATTGCACCATACTTCCCCACACCCGAGCGAACCCCAGATTCGGCTTCCTGCCATAGAAGGCCTCGTGGGGAGTCATATCTGCCCGAAGTCCCTTGGTAGGTAGCCGGTTCTTGGACCAGCACGCCATAGCTAATGCATCACCCCAAAATTTCAGCGGCAACCCACTGTCGGCCAGCATGCTCCTCACGCTGTCTAGTAGAGACCGATTCACTCGCTCCGCTATGCTGTTATGCTGTGGAGTGTAGGGTACAGTCAGCTGCCGTCGGATACCCTTGCTCTGTAAAAACTTGTTGAACAGCTCACCGGTAAACTCCCCTCCATTATCTGTCCTTAAAACTTTCAGCACCTTCCCACTTTGCCGTTCCGCTTCCGCCATCCAAGTCACGAAGCTAGGAAACACTTCTGCCTTATCTTTCAGCTCCGTCACCCATGTGTGCCTCGTTCCCAAATCAGTGAAGGTAACGAAGTAGCGGCTGCCGTGTCGTGACGCCACCCTCATAGGCCCACACACATCGGCTGCTACGATGTCCAAGGTGCCATAAGGCTCATGTACCTGGTGGTGGGGGTGAGGGGACTTTGTGATTTTACCTTCAACACACTTGCTGCATTTTCCCTTGCTTCCAGCCCCCTCCTTCAGTGCCACACCTTTTACCATGCCCTTTTTGACCAACTCCTTGACCCTATCCATGCTTCCATGCCCCATGCGCCTGTGCAAGGTCTCCAATTCCACCTGCTCCATCCCAACCACCATGGCAGAAGCTTCCTGCTGCAGCTCCTTCACAGGTAAGCCACCAAGCCGAGCCTTCAACTCCTCCCTAGCTAGGTCCCCTTCGAGTGATGTCAGGTAGGTGGCATTCTCATCCTCCAGCCCCTTCTTCCTCAGCTTCATTTCATACAACCCCTGATTTCTGTTCCCTTCTGCAACCACCTTCCAATCCTCATTGAAAACCCACAACTTTCCTTTGTCGCTGAAGGTTTTGCACCCCGTGCTGTCAAGTTGAGACTGGCTGATCAGATTCAGTGAGAGCTTCTCCACTAAGAGAACATTTTCCAGCTTCAGCTCCCCGTACTCTCCTTGGAGTAGCAACTCTCCTTCCCCCTTCACAATCAGCTTCCCTTCATCCCCCAAGAGCACATACGGTACGTTGGAGTCCCTCAGATTTGTAAGCCACTCGCAGTGATTGGTCATGTGCTGAGTGCACCCACTGTCCATGAACCACGCTGCTTCACCGAACCCCTTTGCCACCAAACACACCCCCGATGCCCTTGCCACGTTTGCCTTGTGAGCTCCTCCCAAGATGACGTCCGCTTCACTGTTTTCAGCTTCCACTGCATTTGCTTTTGCTGCTGCTGGTTTGATTTGCTGCTGGTTTGCTCCTTGGTAGTTCTTGCTGTTGGGGTTCGAGTAGCAGTTGGCTGCCCTATGCCCAATTTTCTGGCAATAGTGACATGCCCCTGAAAATCCGCCTCTCTGCATCTTGTTATCACCTCGAACCTCCCCCTCTCTCTGCTGCCATCCGTTCTGCAGCCCCTTCTGCTGCGGACCGCTCCATTTCCCGTTG